CACACACACACACACACACACACAGCACCTCTATCACACATCATTCACACTCTGATGGAACAGCCACTGTGTTCAGTGTCTCATATGTACAAGTTATACTAATGACATATTACATGCAAACTTCACAGCCATATTTGGGGAGATAGTGACTATGGTAACTTTAGTACAATAATACTGTTTGTATACATATTGTACAAACTAACTTCCTGGTTCACTGATAGTAAGATAAGTATCCGAGCAAACATCCACAGAAAATACAGCTTCAATGTCTTTAAATAAAATGTATTGATTGATGAAATGAGAAGAATCTTAATTTATCCTCTGTGTAGTAATGAACAGTTGGTCATGCTGTGTGCAGGTTGGAGAGTCGCATGTCAACAGACATCGGAGCGATCATGCAGCTGCTGCAGAGACAGATGGCTCTGGTTCCTCCTGCTTACAGCGCTGTCTCCACACCACCTCAGGTGATAATAACACACTCACTCACTCACACACACACACACACACACACACACACACACGTAGAAGCATCATGCTTGATGTCACAGGGTTCAGGTCCTTGGGTGACACTTTATCAGCAGGAGGCTGGAAGAAACACAGTTCTGCATTATTATTAATAGTGACTGACTCAGGCTGTGTTATTGTCCCCTCTGCAGGCCTCGCCTTACCCTGGTCCCAGTCCAGAACCAGGTCCAGGAGAAAGGCTGGTTCAGCCAGGTACACCACTGGAGACAGACACTCTGGCTTCTTTATCACAGGTGAGGGAAAGACGTTTGTCTCTGCAGATTTCACTTTGTTATTCTGTGGAACTCCGTTTTTGAATGATGTCATTGGTGAATATTATTGTGGCCGAGACGTCTCACACAAGGACATTAACGGAAAACATGAATGCGAAAGTGTCGCCACCAACAGTCATTTAAAATGTGATGCTTGTCTATTTGAGGTATTACGGCACATGTGGTTGCAGCACTCAACATAACAACAATGGTGATTTTCGTGTTTTCTTAGGCACAAAGTGAAAAGAAGTTTGATTTAAAAATCGATTTTGCTCATAAACCACAGTTCACAGAAGCAAAAGAGGAAATAGCATCATCACAGTTGTTCCCTCTCATCTCCCCTGCAGATCTTGGATTCCCAGGACTTTGAGGAGTGCCCGGTCAAGGCTGTCGACTCTCTACAGGCCCAGGAATCATCTCTGATCAACTCAAGCCAGGGTCAGCTCGCTCCCACCAGACTCGACAGCCTGGGGCAGCATCTGGAGCTGGAGCTGGGCCTGGGGACTGGGGCTGCACTAGTTTCAGGCCCAGCAACAGGCTCAGGTTTGGATTTGGAGTTAGGCAGCGGGGCGGCGGTGGGCTCAAGCTTAGGAGCAGCGTTAGACTTTGACTCAGAGATGTGTGTCGTGGCCGGGATTGAGCTGGCGACTGGTTCAGGAGCGTCTCCTCTGGATCCTGAAACTCGAAGGAGGCTGTCCCTCCAAGAACCGCAGACGCCACTGGACTCAAGGACACCACAGAGACACAGCTCAGACCCCGGGGGGAGCTAAGGAAGCGGTGAAGGGTGGGGGGGAGAGTGGGATGGAGGGAGGGATACAGGGTGAGAATGAATGAGTGTGATGTTTGTATCCTGCAGTTCCTCCTGTTTCCACCAGTTCTCATGGCACTTTGGAGATCAGGAGGCACCTGCTGTTCCCCCATCAAAACCCTTTAGGTCACCATCAACCTCTCAAGTAGGGACACACAGTTTAGAGAGAGAGAGTGTGTGTCTGTCTGTGTGTGTGTGTATGTGTGTATGTGTGTGTGACCCTGACCACCCCCACCCCCACCCCTTTAATGAAACATCTGGAGCTTTGTGAACTTCACAACAACACAACCTTTAACCAAAACCACAAACGGAGCAGAGAAGAGCTCTGCCTCTTAACGAACACTGTCCAGGTGGATGTGGTCTGGACGTCTCAGTCACCCTGAGGGTGACACAACTACTGACCTGTAGAAGAATCCCTTTACTGCTGTATCCAGTGTTGGATGACCGACAAGAACAAGCAACATCGGACAGAGTAACGACGAAACAAGTAGCCATTTACGTCTTGCACTGAAAATTCTATTGATATAAGGATTATTCTAATCTATATGTCCGTGGCGCTTCCGATAATCTCACAAACTGGTTGATGAATTGTAGTGTTAGCTGGCCTAACAGGAAACCTGCTGTCCCCTTCTGTCATTGGTTCCTTCACGCTGATGTCCTGCCCCAAGAGGCGGAGCTGCCGCCTTCCCAAGAGCACACTGGATTGGCTAGTTTGCACCTCAGGGGTGGGAACTGGAGGGTTAAAAGCCATGAATTTTCTCAATGAACATATCAGCTGCCCTATCATAAGCATTGTACAGGTTTGCTAGTGACTGAGGAACATATGGCGAGCTTAGGCAGCGTGGCCGACAGGTAAACTGGCAAACTTACAAGTTTACCACCAGACCAGCGCACCAAAAACCAACAAGATTTCAACAAGCAGGAAATCCCAGTTTACTAATCAGTAATGAGATATGAGTTGTGATGTGTTTTTTCCTGTCAAACACAATGAAGTGATGAAGTCACACTGGTCGGTTTTGATTTTCAAAAGGGAATCAAAGCACGTGCACGAAGGACGACTGACCGAGCGCGTCCAGTTTTTCATAGTTGAATTTGCTACCTCAGATTTCATTGGTCCTTACTTTTTTTCCACCTGAGCAATCACCCAGAATGCTTTTACCTTGTACATAACAGTCTGTCATGTGACACGTAAATATACAAGTTTGCCAGTTTACAATGACCAGCCGAATGCGCCATAATTCTATGTACAGTACAATATGCAAACACTGGCAAGAAGAGACGAGTGAGTGTGCTTTAATATTAATATGATTATTATTATTATTATTATGTGTGTGATAAGTTCAAGTCCAGAGCTTTTTATGTGTGTTGGTCTTTGTTCTTGTCTTCAGTCTGCAGAGCATGGCACAGTGTGTTTGCTTCACACACGGTAGATGGTCACTGTATCGAACGCTGAGGAATCATTCCTCTTCTCTTTAGCCCCAAACTGATTTAATGGAAAATCGGTTGTTTGGGATTTTTAATGTAGACATCACAAATAAAACCCCTTTATAACATAGGTTTAAAAATACACATGAAGTCATCCGAGTGTAAATGATATAATAGCAACACATTTTTTTGAGAACACTAACCATGTGTTTTTTATTCTGATTGTTTCCCACACATACACAGTGGATGCCTGCGCAGTGGCACATTAACAACTAACATGATTCATTTGGTTGTAGTGTGGGTTTGTTTTTTAAATTATATATTATCATGTCTGCTTTAAGAAAAAAAAAAGGTCCTGGAACTTAGTTTAATACAATGTTTGAGAATGAACCATCTGACAGGGAGGAGTTTAATGATTTATGTTGAGGTGACACACACATTTCAAAAAGTGGTGATGGAAACGTGTTGTGGGCGGTGTAAGGGGCACGGTCTGGAGTTTACCCAGAATCCTCAGGGCAGGTGGAAATGTACAAACAGGAGCAAAGTCCTTTTTTCCATGTGAATGAATTTTGAATTTTCCTTAGAATCTTCCATTTTAATCAGTTTTTGAGTTCTCGAGATGAAGGAAAATGAAAACCTGTGTCGTCGTCAAATTGTCTTCCCCCGAAAAAGAAAAAAAATCTCCAGACGGAGTCTTTCCTGTACCAACATAACGAAGACTCCTGACAGAGGCGGGACATCCTGCCTGAAGTGCAAAATTCCTTTAAACAGTTGAGACTTGTAGCAGCTTAACCACACCCCTTAATGTTTAGCACTTTACTTTTTTAAAACAGTGCGGATGTTGAATGAAGTCTCAGGAACGTGTGAGTGATGTCACAGCCTTTGTTTCCCTTGATCTCTGAACTCAAAACCAACCAATCAGAAAGAAACATCCAAAACCTTCAGTTTGGTGGAATTCCCCTTTAATCCATAATAGTGACGATTGTATTTTGCTGCTTGCTGGTCGAAGCTGTTTAATTTATTTATTTGTTTGAAAAATGTTTTTGTCTTGACTATTTATCACTTGAGCTCATTTGGTGGAGTCGGGCTTGCTGTGTAAACTCTGTTCATAATCCTGAAATCCATCACGGTCTCTTAATATTTATGGGTATAAGTGCACATTACTCCGAATAATCATTAATCCAACTGATCCCTCGTGTCGTCGGTGTCTTTGCCTCGGTGGTCATTGGACTTTGTTGCTGTTCACGCAGCCGATGTCGCGCTTTGTAACGGTGCACTTTAGTATCGAACCAAAGCCAATGGATGCTCTAACAAATGGGCGACGTTTTAAACTCCTGCACACATTTAGGTCAGAAAAAGATGAATGTTACGTGAAAGCTCTTGTTTGACTCAAACTGAAGTTTTAATGCAGCTGTGATTTTTAACCTTCAACCAAGGAGATTTTTACACAGACTTGAAAATCATTTTTTTGGGGGGGGGGGGTTTGATCAGGACAGTTTGGAAAAACTAAACCCTAATTATTGTACAGTAAAAAAAAAAGAAGATCCTAGCTGCTTTTACATGAATGGTGATTGTGAAGTTGCTAGAATCCCTGAATCTACTGAGTCCCTCTCACCACCGAGCCCTGTCTTCCTCCTGTTGTTTTATTGGGTTTCCTTCACTGACACGCCCATTACATCATTTTCACCAGCACTCACCAGGAGGTCCCACAATAACACGTGACTGCAAATATCCAGTAATCACTGAGTGAAGCTGGCAGTCGAACCTTTGTAACGGTTGAAGTGCTGAGGTACTGATTTCCACACGTGGGCTCTCCTCCACATCTCGTTCACTGTAGCGACTGTTTCTTTTTGTTCCTGTTCAATAACAGTCACCTAGTGGCCTGAACTGTATCTTTTACATTCAGAACTATGACCTCAAAACTAGAATGTGGTTGTTGTCGACTCTTCTTCTTTGACCCTGTATGTGACGGTACACCTTTAGAATAATATTCACTGCTAGAGAATACATTTATGTAATGCATAGTGCATATTATAACAGTAGAGGGCGCACTTTGGATAACTCAATAGGGGAAAAGAGGGGAATGGGTGTTATTGTTATTGTTGAATTTTGCCACACACATGAAAACTCAGCTTACACACATACACACACATACACACACACACCTCCCTTAATAGCTCTTCCATACTGCTGAGCTTTTTTTCAGCTGTATCCAACTTTCTATGAGTTCCGACAGACTTGGGTCCTTGTAGATATTTTGAGGATTTGGGGAGGGGGTTGGGTGAGGGTGGGTGTTTGGTACCGTTTACACAACACTGGATCTGTTGTTGCTCGTCGCCTGTACATACCCACTTCTACTACTTGTAAAGGAATCAAAACTCTTTGGCACTCGTATAGCCAGCACTATGCAGAAACGGAAACCTTTTCTTTGGCATGCTTTGAAATGCAGAAAACTATAGAGGAAAATATACTAAAATAAATAAAGTCTGCTCTAATTTCTTATTAAAATAATCACTTTATTGGGGGAAAAAAAGCTGTCCATGGTCAAAATGGACATGAGGATGATGAAGCTAAAGACTTTTAATATTGTGCACATTTCTAATTGCATGCTGCACTGAAAATCATCCAGCAATGAGGTTTTTGACGTGCAAAGCAGCTGATTTTCCTCTGTATGCTTGCAAACTGTGTGTAGAGTGAAACACTGAATTCTTCTGGGTTCTTCCGGGAGAGTCATATTTATATATACATATATATAGGTATATATACATACTACTTCCAGGTCATGGAAGAGAGGGGTACTGAATAGCTGCAAACATAGTGATCCTAGATGATACAATATGATATTGTATGTTTGTATCTTTGGTTGCAAACCACTGTAATGGAACGATGCATGTGTGGCAGTCCTGGGCAGAACTATTGCTTTTTCCCAAATATCATTGAGCACTTGATTTACCTTTATTAGTTCTGTGTCCACTTGGGCCTCAGAAGGTAAATCAAGTGCACGTAAACTTTCAGAAATTCTGCCTTTGCCCTGCAGGGATGGGCTGCACCCTGAAGAGTGACTGCTGTCAACACATCTGAGAGCATTGTCGGACCACGGCGTACTTTCTTTTCACTGCATGCTGTGTTCAAATCTCAAACACATTTTGCTGAAAAGTACAGAGTAGTGTGGTGTCCTCGAAGGCCTCACAGATGTTTTGACAGCAGCAAATCTTTTGGTGTATCCTGTGTGACTGACGGTCCCTGGAACATTGAGGTAACCGTGGATACTTTGTGACACTGGGCTGTCGATGGAGTGTTTCTTATAATATGTGATTCATATCAAATGTGGAGGACAGCTAGATGGGACAATGGTGAAGCTTCAGGTTCTGATTGTGTGATAGCATTATCAATGGTTGAACTTTATAACATTTCAAAAATATTTCTTTCAATAAACCTCTTTGAAAGCAAATCACCACGGCTGCTCTGATTCTTACCTCATTTCATGGGACTGATGGTTACATGTGGCCCCCGAGCACAGACACATTAAAGGGTCAT